TCTTTAATAATTACTGGATTATAGAGATCACTGTTTACTACTGTAAAAATAGCTGGTAAAAATGTGTGTGCTTCACATGAAATGCATTTGTTTCACAGCAAGATGCCTGGGCCAGTAATTCGCATAATGACAAAGAAGTGGTTTTTTCCCCATAAAATTCTTTCACACTGAAAGAGCAAATATTGTCTTAGAAGTTGTATGAACATCTTTTCTCTCTGTTAACCCAAATATTGCTGTCATATTAGGAGTACAGCACTCCAGTTTGATACTACAATGTACAAATAAATCAAATATTTAATAAGTTAGTAGTCAGTTCTTGTATCAATACGTCTATTGTAAGTCTGTGTAAATCATTAATATTTTAGGCACAGTTATATGTTGTGACTCTAAGGAAGAAAGAATTAATTGTAAGATGGACTCAATGGAATGTACTTAGCAATGTTTTCTTGAGATCTCTTAAACTACTCAAGCTGACCTACAAAACTGACCTCAAAGTGTAATACTTACATAAAATAATTTTTACCTGCATATTTTAAACTTATTTTTACATCTTTATATAATGACCTTCACAGCTGTCTGAACTGTCTTGATGAAATTTCATTGTCAAAAGAATATATGAACTAGAAATAAAACCCTTAATTATTTCTTGGTTATTGTCCCACACACTTGAAAATAAATGTGTGTATATTCTGTGAAGTAAAATATCAATAATTTTTTTCAAAATATAAGTGCATTATCTTTTCACAGGCTGTTAAAATGTTTCCCTGTGAAGGTTTCTCTGTCCGAAGACCCAGAAAAAGATTTCAGGGTACATGGAAAGTTCTTATTAAAAAAAAAACTGTACAAAGAATACACACTAAAGGCACATAAGTGTTAAGTGAATTACATATTTCTGCTCATGAGAACTCTCATCCACCACAGGAAAATACAGCAGATGTACAGCTCACCACTGGTCTTTCAGTGTTATGTTCACGTGTGACTTAAACCCCAAGAGCACCTCACCACTGTATGAGGAATCAAGCACACCTGCTTTCGTTCACCCACCCAACACAGTCAGCAAGATATATTTTTGTACTGAAACACTGTAGCATACCAGTAAGTGGTGCATTTCAATATTATGTACATTTACAGCATATAATAAGAGCTTGTGCATTGATACAAAGTCTATGCCACCTACCACTCACCAGCAGGGAAACATCTGGAGTACAACTAGTCCTGCTGAAGTAGGAATCAAAAAAACGTTCCTTGCTTAGGTCTTGAGCCAATGAAGTAGCCTGTAGAAACTTAATTTACTCTGATGTTTTTTCCATTTCTTCCTACCTGTTCGATAGAAATGTGGAAGTATGGAGTGCCTCTTCTGCTTTATCTGTTCCCCGAGCATTGCCTCTAACGAAGAAATCATTACATGAAAGGAAGGCAGAAATTGTTGCCAACAGAGAGTCATCTCTGCCTCATTGCATGCCTACTGTAGAATCCCAGAAGGGGCTAATGTGTACGTACCAAACACTTATAGCCAGACAGCTGTGAAGCCAACCAAGGATTGTCAGTAATAACACTCCAATAGGAAAGAACAAGATGTGGCTTAAGAAGGGGGCCATGTGGAGGTAGGGTAGCACTTTTCTAGGACAAACATCTTAGTTCTAGTTCCTGGAGATAAGCACAGTAGTGCAATGCAATGGCAGGAATGAGGCTGAGAAGTGGGCATAGACTGTAGGGGGGGGTCAAGACCACCAAAGACCCTCCAACCTGCTTCTGGAAATAAAGAAAATTCCTCATGTCTGAAAGAATGGACTGCACATGATAACTAATTTGCATTGAAAGGTAGTCACTATCTTCAGGGGAGGGAAAACCTACATATAAAAGAGTAACCCCACCAAGACTGGCTGAGTGCCTCAGGACATCCTATGAGCTGGACCAACACTGGAACGCTGGTGGTCTCTTTTACTCTTTCTTTTCTTTCCTTGTCTCTTCATCTTACCCTTTATCTAAAACCAATTGCCATGTGCTTATATAGTAGGTCAGGTACTAACACACCAATTTCCATGCCACGTGTGTAATTTACTAACAAAACTTTCAGAGTTTTTGCAGACCCCTGACTGTTGTTCCTTTTGACCATGAGCATCTATGAATCTTGAGTGCTTTCTTCCCCTTAAGGATTGGATGTCAACCTACTGATGAAAAAGGCTGGGCTGACTGGATCACCAGCAGATTTAGTGCTGGCATTTTCTTGCTCCTGCCCCTTAAAATGCAGGGAGGCAGACACCCAACATGGACTGAATAAACTGCTGGCATTCTCAAACAAAACCATCTTCCTCCAGGTTCATTAGGGCAAGTTAAGCATCTACTTTAGAAGCAACAATTGCTCCTGATCCAGTCCTAACATCTGAAATTTAGCTACATCTGCACCTACTGAAATTCATAAAAGTCATTCACTTAAGCATTTGCAAGCAACTGATTATTGGCATTTATTTTTCTGCACACTCCTGTACAACACCAGAAGTCACTGGGGCCAAGACTATGCTTTAACAGTTCCATATAATGCCTCCACTAGTACTGGGGACAAGACAGGCAAGGACAGACTAAGCTGCACAGCAAACTTCTCAGTCAAACTGTATGTAATTCAGTGACAGAAGAGATAAGGAACCTTCCTGTTTTCTCCTTTATGGAACATAGCAGAGAGAACTGAAAGCCTGTAACTTTTATTCAAACACATTCAGCAACAGAACAGACCAGTGGCACTCCCTGAATTTCAGCATTTCATATCCACAGAAAGTAGGAGAAAATAAATCTGAATCCATTAAAAACAACTGAACAAAAGCACTCCATGAACTACCCACTCTAACTCTCCTAGTACACTGTGTTACATTTCTGTGAAACTAGCACCTCTGCCAAATTTAAATGTTCTAAGCAGAAAGATGGTAAAGGTCAAACCCTTCTTGATTAAAGCAGTCTCTGTAAATTTTTATTCAAGACCTGCTTTCCTAGTTCTGACTTGCTTCAAATATAAAAGTCTTAAACTCTGAGACAAGTGTGCAACACTTACTCTCACAGTTGCTTAGAGTTGCACGTTATTTTCTTAAATACTGTATTCACCCTCCAAATGTTGTATTTGAAACATATCTCCCCCACTTTCCTCTCTGAGGCGAGTGTTGCTTTTGTGAGGGTTGTGTAGTTTACTTGGTATTGAAAAACTAATCTCTTCTTTTGCAGGAACTGAAGTACATTTTTCATATTCTGAATGTAGTTTTCATGTTTAAGTGACAGCACAGAATTTGTATCAGAAGAAATAAATTTGACTTTTACACTTTATTTTTTCAAGTCTTACCACACTTGCTGCAGTGGCTTGAAGCGAGCAGATGTGTATCCCACCCAGTAGAAATCAGCTTCCTATTCCACAGCAATAATTCCTTCTTTAAAAATGTTTCTGTACAGCCTGAGTTCAGTATTATAACTCATTTTTAAAACAGGGAAAGGCTACTGAAATAAAATTAGCTGTAGTGGAGAGTGTAACATTTGTGGTGATATGCTCAATCATCACTAATCACAGAACAAATACTGGCAAGCCCTGTTCCCACAGCCATTTCGACTGCTGTGTATACATTGCACCACACCAACATCTCAGCTAAAGCCACTTCCTGACACCGCAGGGCACACTAAAAGTAGCTTAGTATTCAACTGCATGTGTACTACGAGCAGTGTAACTGCTACAACAGAAGACCAACAAGGATGACAAAGCTTGTCAGACAAGCAGAACAGCAGAAAGCAGAGCTGCCATTGGCAACTCTGCAGTGAGACAGCCAGCAGGACCACTTTGGTTTGCAGGTACTATACCAAGGGCACACCATGCACTCAGCTGGACTCTCCCTCACTCTATTCCAGTACTCTATTTCATTGCAGTAGCATGTACTCCAAAGTGAAGAGTAGAGGTTTGTTCCCTTAACTGAGCTCCCTACTGCTGTGTTAACAGTAAAATACCCTGACGACATCTGTTCATTTACAAAGGAAGAACATAAAAGTAGGATACAAGTGCTGCATGAGGAATACAAGATTATTATTTGTTTTATTTGAAGTTGAAGTAGTCAATGTTTTTACTCGTCTTCAAAGAGTGGATTTCACGCAGACATGCTAATTCCTGTACCAAAAAATCACAGGTAAGTAGGAGAATGATATATATGATAAAGCCATATATGATAAATCATGACCTTTTGCAGATTTCACAAAAGCTGTAAATAACATATATAGGATTTAGAGCCAAAAGATGATATGGTAAGAATCCCAGGTATCCAAGCAAAACATCAAATTACTCTATGAATCCATCCAAGAGCTGTATGTTGGGACAGTCTTCTGGCATTGAACTCCTGAAAATGAATCTCATAAGCCTTCAATGTATGTCAAACCCCAACTCTTTACAACCACAGAAGCAAACCTTGCCAGAAAATTCATATTGAATTGAAGGCAGGAGGTACATCAAGACACTGCCTTTGATCTCACCTAGACTATCCTTTATATGCATTGTACAAAAGTTAACTACACCTCTGGTTAATAAAATCCATGGTCTTTCATTAGCAGACATGCATTACTCTCTAGAGATCCTTTACACAGGTAGTCACATCACTAAGTGTTGTCACGGTCACTAAGTCGAATGTCCTTCTATTCCTTAACTAATTTAGTATTTTATAAGCATGATTGCTACTGTACTGCTAACTATACACTACTCTTGATTTCCACTTTTTTTTTCCCTTGTGCCTTTCCAAGAGTGGTCGAAGACTTGGAGACATTCAGCTACTGAAGATTTTTCTGTGCTTTCATTTAATTCTTCAAAGTATAATTCTTTATAAAATTCTTCACATCAGCCTAAGAAAATCTGAAATAGGTTTATTTGCAATATGAGCTTAGGATAGACTAAGCACTTGAATTAATGGTTTTGTCAGCAAGGATGATCTGAGACATTTTTTCTCCTTCCCCTTAAAAGTGGCTGAAGACAGTATATAGCACTCTCATTGCTTCCCATAGGGCTTTAAAAGAAAATCATAAAGGATAAGCAAAGGCATCCTACTTATTCAGTTATTAAATGAACAGCAAGAAAAAAATGCATTTGTGCTTCTAGGTAAACTCCAACTTCTAAATAAACTCCAACTCAAGTTTATTCTTACGTATATTTAGATTTATTTGCTATACATCACTGTGAGCTTATAGTAGTTAAAATCCATTACAGGATTTATTTTTTTGTTGTTGTAATAATCAGTCGTAACTCCACAAAGACAATAATACTGCTGTGGAAGACCAAAGGGGAGAAAAGCCATTTCAATTTATTTACAGTTCCTTATTTTGTAAACATTTACTCTACACATTGTACTAAGTTCTAATAAGGATAAAGAGCTATACATAGAGACAGGAAACAAAGCCCTGTTTTTCTATTCATATTGAGCATTAGCATATTATAGATGAAACATCTGCCCTTTCTCATTACCATAGCAGTAAGCTGTCTTCGAGTAAGTTGGGTTTTTTTAACTTTCCAGAGATGTAAATATTTTGAAATAATATACAACTACATCTACTTAAGCCAACCCATTTGGCTTTTATTCCATTTCTAGAATAATTTAAAGTGCTATAAGCAACCCGTCAATCAACACTTTTCTATAATAACAAAACTACTTTAAACATTAATTTACAAGATAATATACAATGTTTATCTGAAATAGCTGAAATTTCAGCACAAAGTCAGTCACTGTCACACTTAACAGCAATTTTTTTGTTCTTTTTTTTGTTTGTTTTTTTGCAGAACATAGAATAAAAGCTTTGAAACAAACAGTTTTGTTGAGCTGTTATTGCCACATTGGCTTATCAATTTTCCTACAAAAGTGGACAAGAGCTACTGGAACTGTATTCTAGCCTGTCATTTTTCTTTTGAGGTCACATGACAGTAAGTTTGCATATTCCACGAGTCTACTGAATTACAATATTGTCTACCTATAATACATTATGTCATTTTAATCAGAGCTGGTGCTAATTGTAAATTTACAACATAGACCCACTCAAAAACATCACAAATATTTTTTTCTTTGGACAGGAATAAGCTATATTCTTGGAGCTGATGTGCTACACGGCTACAACAGTATAACAGTATATATTGACACTTTATGTTGAAGAAAGATGCATCTGCTTCTGTACTTTTAATGCCCTACTATAGCTACAAATTATTCACTGAGTTTTTCTTGCTTTAGCCTTTTAATTGTGTGGAATTATCATATTCTTACATTCTCTTGCCATTTTATGAGTCCTTGCCATGTAGCTCAGTATCGTCAGTATTTGTCCCAAACCTGCAGATCATTAACAGCATGTGCAAAACACTCTTTAAATACAATCAGCATGCAGTTAGAACACCTATTAACTGACTTGTTTCTAAACATGAACAATAAACAAGACGAGTGGCACTGTTGACTTTGGATATCTTCTAACTTCACCACGTGTGTACTGGGACGTGTTAAGAAGGAATGCTCAGCTTCTCATCCATTTGTGGCACCATGAATAACCCATTGTTGGCCTGAACCAATCCCTGCAGTGCTGCTGCCAAATACCCACACGCAGCTTTCTTAGAGGTTCAGAGAGGGCAACTTCATTCATAGACATAATTTGAATACAAAAATAATAAACTATATTCAATGAAGCAGCCCCCTAGCAGGATTGCAGAGAGGTGTGTGTGGGAAACCTGGGAGGCAACTGTAATATGGATAAGAATTTTACAGACTGCAAGGCTCAAAGTAACTAATGTTAATTTTTAGTCCACATGGTCAATATTTTGTAAAATTGTCTACAGCTTAGAAAAAGTATGACAGTATATTACAGATGTGAGAGCATGAAAAAAGTCTGGTATTTAAAAATAATAACTAATGGCCACACTAAAAACTTTGAAAAAAAAAATCAGAAGTAAAATGCATTATATTGCTCCTAGGGATTTTTAAGCTGCACTGATTCATGTCAGGTTTGGGACAAGAACCTGTAGAAATAGTTAAATACTCATTCAAAAGCCCATATTTCTATGTCTTGAATAATGAAGTCTTCTCGCTTAGAAAGTGTGTGATTCCCAAATGTTTTACATGAATGACTTCTTCCATGGTAGAGATCACCATCGAGCCAAAGAGCAAACTCTCCTCTGCAAGACAGACAATGCAGTTAACCAAAGACTGAGGAAGTAAGCATTAAACCTATCAATGTAATTTTCATTCAAAATTCAGGAATAAGAAGGAATTAAAGAATTCGTTTTTAACACAAGTACCTCATTGCTGTTGATAAATTTTGGGTTTTTTTCACTATTTCACTATTTACTATTAATTTGGGAACATCCTTTTTCAGACATTCTGAAATAAGAAAGCTACCTAAAATTCCTCAGTTTTTCAGCCTCTTCCACTTTTATTAAGAAGATATAATAGTACTCTTATTATATCAGAGAATGTTGATTAAAAAAAGGGGAAACATCCCAGAAGCTTATGCACCTGGGGGGGCAGGGAGGGGGAAACGGGGTGAGACAATGTATAATTTTTGATGACACTGGCATTTATTGGGACAGTTCAGTTTCAATTCTGCCCTCTTCTAGTGATGCCTAATTTTCACATTTACATACTTTCAGAATCACAATATCTTGTGTCCATTCTGAATAGAGCAATACACACATGCAAATTGAGCATGGAAGGCATCATAATCTTGCAGGGCTGAAACTTTATGCCACACTACGCTTAAGACAGACCTTCCTGTTTAAGTTTCTTCAACATCAGAAGCTGAACACCTGACAAACTAAAGCTTTCTTGGCTGGTGACTATTGAGTCCTGAGCTCTCAAACTGAAATAAACTCCAATTTCTCCTCCTCAAAGGTGTTCAAACAAACACTTTTAACAGACTAATTATAACTTACCCTCCTCCACCAAAAGCAAGGGAGTCCATGTCTCCTTTAATAAAGAACATGTTGTCTCCTGTCCATTTGAAAACCTAAGAAAAAACCCAAAAAACCAAAACAGACTAGTAAGTAAAAATATCTGAACTTTTTGTTTGGGTGGAAGGGAACCCAAATATCAGTAAACACAGACTATGGGTGGCTAGAGGCCAGTTTAATGAAGTTATCAAGTTTACACAGAAAATTCAGGGAACAGATATTTGCAGATAAAAATTCTCTTAGATTTTACAGTAATTAAAATAGGACCATTTCAAACAGGCCATCTTTGAGCATAGAAACTTCTACAGAATGAAAAATACCAAGAAAATATGCTTAGGCTAGATGATATGCCCTTTAAAAGGATGCAGTTTGTTAATTTTCAGACAGACACCTGGATGAATTTAGAACAGTACAGAAATCTTCAGTACAATGAAAGAGTCGGGTTAAGTATGTTTTCACTATGCAAACACTACCAATTTACTTTGTCCATAAGGGACAAACTAGTATGACAACTTTTTTTGGCCAACTCATAGTATTTTTCAGATTTACTGTTAGATTTGTTCTGTAACTATTTTAGGATAATGCACATGGCAGGAGGGAAGGAGGGAAGGAGAGTAAGAGCACACAAAGTTATTACTACTTACCTCAAAATCTGGAGAAAAAGTGAACATAAATGTCTCCCCAGTGCCATAAAAGCCATCACTCACTTTAAATGGTTCAGATGCTAGTGCACCAAAAACCTGTAGCAAAAACACATAAGAGCAAGAGAAACTTCAGAGAAACTACACACCATCTGAGAATCTCTAATAATAGCAAGATAAGCAAATTAGATTGTAAATGTTGAAATTCACTTCAGGATGAGCCTTATGGTGTTATCATGGTTCTGAGTGTATTGAGATATGGTACAGTGCTTTGTGGTACAATAAAAAGGTAAGAGGACTTTCTCAATAAAAAGTGAACAGATCAAGAAAAAAGCCCACACTAATGGATAAAAACTAAACTCAGAAAACTCTCAGGTAGAATGTATACATATTTAAAATTTCTTAGACAACTCCTATTCCACTTGACCTAAGCCATTTTCAGCAAGTTCCCAGTTGTAACTGCGTTATTTTTCATGTAATTTATTCATTCCAATCCAAGTAACAGGTAAGCACTGGTTACCCTGTCTTACAACAGAGACAGATTTTAACAGGAGGACAGGATGCCATCCGGAGGGACCTGGACAAACTTGAGAACTGGGCCCATGTGCACCTCATGAAGTTCAGCAAGTTCAAGTGAAAGGTCCTGTACCTGGGTCAGGGCAATTCCAAACTTAAGTACAGACTTGGAGATGAACTCACTTGAGAACAGTCCTGCAGCAGACAACTTTCATCTTGCAGATAAAAGACTGGACATGAGCCAGCATGTGCTCACATTTTGTTGAATTCAAGAATTAATCTCTTGCAATAGCAGGTATTTGATGTACTGTACATTTTAGAAGTCACTGCTAAGACTTGATTGTTACAGACCAGACAAAAGGTAGGACTTACATACCAAACTTCCTTAAAGGCACAACACTTACAGAAGCTTCCTCACATTATTACTAATACTTTATTTCTTTATATTATCTTTAAGAACAAAGCACCACTACACTGACAAGTTCCTTGTCACAACACAAAATTGTTCCTTTACTTCAGTTAGGAGAATTACCTTTGAGTATACATTTGACCAATATTTATACTCTAAAAATATGATTCTCTGGAAGAATTTTTAAACTTACTCAACGAGGTGATGAAGTAAAGTATCACAGCCAGCTAAAGGTGCTCACTTTTCAGAGACCTGTATCGGTTTCAGCTGTTAAACAGCAAATTCAGTCTAAAATCTCAAAGATCTATGAACTGAGGTACAAGTTTCTGTACTCTTGTTTTAATGCGAGGTTACAGGAAAATGAGCCCAAACTCTTTTTTTCAGAGACATCTATTTCATTCAACATCTAGAATCAAACACTGGCAATATATTTCTCTATTATCCCACAGTCTCAATGTCAAGAACAGGCTTGAGAGAGAAAGAAACTATTACATTCTAGCTTTCTGGAGAAATCAGACCAAAATAAGTGAATTGATTGTTTTCCTGTTAGTTTCCAGAAGGTTTCCTTTTTCCTGTGTATTTTTTATATAAGGTAGGCTTGAGATGTTATCAAGACATCAAGTGTTATCAATTTGAATTTTAAGACAGTATTTCATTTTTAGCTGATCTTTACTACCTGTTCCACTACCTGTAACTGTTAAGGTTAAAAATTAAGGATGAAAGAGTCAGAAAGAACTTATAATTGCTCTAGTCCATTATACCTATTGCATATTTTATTGTCTCTGTACATGTAAGCTCTAAAATGCATCATGAGACATTTTTTCCTTTTTGTGATTACAAGCATCTGGGCAGTAGACTAGACTTCAGAAAACAGGGTGTTAGCTTTTCTCTCTCAACTATTTTCTCAGCCTATGAGTTGTTTTCCATCTTATTCTCTCTCCCCTATTTGGCTGGCAAGGGGAGCGATAAAGCAACTTGGTGGGCACCTGGCATCCAGCCAAGGTCAGCCCACCACATGACTTTAGACTGTACTTACTGTATGCAGATAATTGAACTTAAATAGAACATCTTTTAGTGTAAAAATCCATACTAAATTCAAATTAAGAAAGTTTGATCAATGAACATAAAATCGGCTAAGTAAAACTCCATGTTTAAATAACTACATGAATATTTTCCAGCAATAGGAAGTCACTGAACCCTTCAAATTATTTCTTAGTCCTCATCTGAGTCTCTGTACCCTAACTTCTTTTAACAGCTCAAGTCATTCTTTGAATAACTCTGCAGCAACTATGGTAGCTAAGCTACATTCAGGTAGTTAAGACATGTCTTACTTCAGCCCTCAGGGCTGACACTACATCTAGTAAGTAAGTATAAGTAAAAAAGATAAAATAAGTGTAATGTTTCATTAACAATTTATATTCCTTGAGAGGAAATAACCTTTCATTAAAATAACAGAGTTGTGCCAAACCTAAACTATCTCAGTTCAGCCTCTACACAGGTATGAGCTTTTCACACAACACTTATTCCGATGTTTGCCTCTGATCATCTCAGGACTGTTATTTGTACAATCAGTAAAACACAAAACTAGTACATTCTAACTATAGAGAAAATCTTGCATATTTTACTCAAGAGCCTCTGAAGCTTTATTTCTAATTATGGAATAAACTATGCTATAAAGAACCTCAGAGGGTCTCTCATAGTTTCCTACTCAATGGAGGACCGATTATAAAGCTATAATTAGGCTGATTCAGTCTTGCCCAGTTCAGCTTCGAGTACCTCCAGGAATCAGGATTCTACACCCTCTCTATGCTTCAAACTGAGTCTTCAAAGATCACATGTTGCTGTAAGTAACAATAAAAGATAAAACTTTGCAGAAAAAGAGTAATTTGCTTCCCACCGGTTATTTTAGTTCTTGAGAAGTGATGTTTATAGGATTTCTCTATGAGATCAGATTGTTGTGGTTAGATACTAGGGTGGATAACTAAAATTCCCAAGTTCTAGGCTCCATGTCTGACACTTCTGCAGTGTATACAATAAAATCTGAAGAACAACTAATTATCAAACTAGACAGTCCTTGGGGTGATTAACTGCATTAATTCCACTTCTAAACCACCACTTGTTTAGTGACTCATGTTCACGAATTAAGTGCCAATTTCTTTTTAAATAGCTGTCAGGGTAGACACCAGATCTCAGTGTCCTCACTAACAGAAGCACATACCAATAGATAGACACAGTCCATAACTATTGTAATGAGGTATCTATAGATTTTATGGACACCTTTATTAGAGGATCTCCAAGAATTGACTGGAGCAGGCAATTTAGGTGGCTTTAAGATTCTAAATTCCAACTAGGCAATGTTCAGCTTTTTAATAGTTAAAGCTTTAATTTGTGAAAATTCAGTGTTTTGGCTGGATTTTTTTTTAAAAAATAGCTGTTTAATTAAAATTGCGAATAGATTTGAAAAAGAAATCAAGACTGGAGAAGATTCTGGAGTATAGGTTGAGGCTTAGCAGCCTTTAATGAAACACAGTATGAGAAGTTACAAGATACGCTTGCTCTTACTTAACCTATTATCAACATAAGAAAAATAAGGAATCTTCATAAACAAAGAACAGTGCCTCAGAGGTTGCAGTCTAGGAAATAAATTAATTCTAGTTTAAAAGAAAAGTACTTCAGCTAAGGATATGACAAAACCAGTATCTTTCATTAACATAGAAGCTACAGAGTGGGCAGAACAAAGAATGCTAAAGAAGACTGATGAGGTAAGTTCAGCAAATGTCAAGAAACTACCTTGTCATAATTTTGTCATTCTTCAAAAAGGCTGAATCTCATTTGGGATCTTCTCTGAACTAGATAGCTTAGAAAAACATTGGTGATCTTGGAGCACAGGATATGAATAAACACCTGTTCTCTAAAAACACATTCTGGCAGGGAATAATAGTATTTATGTTAGCATACTGCTAGTGAAATATTTCTGGACAAATTCTTCTATAAAAAAGTACTCAGATTCTTTTTCAGTCATGGAAAGCAGTTTTATAGGACTATCTGCGAGGAAGATACAAGATATTAAAGATAAGTTGACCTCTTTCAAAAAAACCTTAGATAGATTAATTATCCTAATTACCAAAGGGCACAGTATGCTTCCAGTATCTTATTCTTCATGACTGTAGATCTTTACATGAAGAGAAGAAAGACTATGCTAAATTTCGATAGGTTTTGAACAGAAAGATAGTGTAATTTGTTTCATGCCATCAAATGCAAACACACTTTGCAAAAATTGCATGAGACAGAACTACTGAAAACACCACTCTCACTGCACTGTCAAAGGAATGAGCACATAAAAGTTGCCTAAACCATTCTGCTTACTAAATAGACACGGATGTCCTACACTCTTGAGAGGAACTGAGGTAAGATTTGGCATACACTGTGAAATATAAGTTCAGTGGCTACTGGACCCAAAAGTCCAAGGAATACTTTCATACACATTCCTAGGTATGAGACTGTAAGATAAGATTCATCAAGGTTTGTTTCATGAAAAAAAAAAAGTTATGACATGTCTATAAACTCCCTGTTTTGACTGGGCAGCCATGACACTTTTTGAACATGTAAGCTGAGGTACTCGTATGTAGAAGATTATATGAATAGTTTCAGCAACAGAACAATACTACGTAGGGGTGGAAAGACACCCCTATTAGACAAGGGACATTTTCTTTTTAGGTCAGATAATCAGGTACTAGGAAGCAGGTATCTTACTAATTTATCTTAAGAAGCTAAATAACGGAATTGGAGAAGCTACCATTTAAGAGGCTGATGAGTATGTTGAGATATGTCAAATTTATTCAATAGTTTTTATCTTCAAGATTAAGAAGTAAATGAAGAAAAAACTCCTTTTTAAAGAACTTCTGGGAAAGAGCAGAAAGAGAGCTTTCTGCTCTACTAGCAGAAATTTAGAAGGGATTTTTCTTGTTAAGAGACCCCTGAGGCAGGAAACAAGGAAAAAATGAAGTTGTGACTTGAATAAGAAAACATACCCTTCATTTACAGTTTTCAGAGCCCCTGAATGACATGAGCCCATGCTTCCTGAAAATAAAAACAGTGGTTACCAAATTGGGACAAGTAAGTGCTACAGATTTTACAGTGATTCTGTCAACTTTTCATAACGACAGTAACTTGCTTCCACAAGAGAGTACAGAAGTTTCAGAGAAGGAATCAAAGTCTCATACTGCCTGCAGTGTTTACCTGTTACTAGAATACTTAAGAGGGGATGTTTGCTACTCAAATGGTGAGATGTGAGCCACTTTCTGAAATTCGTACCCCAGTCAAAGGAAAATAGAGCACAACTACAGAGACTCAAGAAAAAAAAATTAATAATGCAACAAAGATACTATAGCCCTTGAAAGGGAGAGAGATGTTGGCTGCAGCCACAGAACATACCAAGAAGCACTGCCCACAGCTGGCAGTGACATTCCAACTCAACAGGATCTTCCAGTATAAGAAAGTTTTAGAGACTGTATTTCTTGTGGCTTAAGTGCATTAAAAAAAATTAAATTCTTTAACTGGGTATTACAAGACTCATGCATTACAACAGTGAACTTGTATCATTAAAGTATTTCCTAGACATGTAGTATGTCAGAGGCTTGCTTAACAGTGAAACATATTTCTAAGGAAAAAAACCTGCTTGATACACACAATTTTATCTCCCACAATGGACTGAAGTGTCAGCTTTGTACTTCTCAAACATTTTTCTTGATGGGTCCCCTACTTCCACACAAACATTTTCCTACCTGTCCATCACTGTCTTTGATAACCAACAGCACAGGTGTGTCTAATCCCGTCATTGTTCGATACAAAGTCTTCAAGCTCATGCCATGCTTCGCAGTACTGTAGACAAGAGTCCATGGATAGCCAATAGTCCGTGGTGGAAGAGACTTTGTGAGCTATTAACAAGAAAATGACAACCCTTTATTTAACATACCTTTTACATTTAAGAATGTATTACATGTAAATGAAAGCATATTCTGTTCTTCTGAACTGCTTATAAGTGGCCTTAAAAGCTAAGACTAAACCTGAAGTTTCATATGTGTATTTTCTACTTTTGGTCACTCACACAAGTTTCTTTTCCTACATTTACCAGTGACCTGCAGAAGAATCATTTATCAAGTGAAGTACATGTCTTTGTTAAGGTATCTAAAAGGTTTATCCAAGGACAGTAAAACCACAATTATTGTTACATAACAATACTGCATGTCCCATCAATGTCTCAGCATTGGGTTACTACATCACTCAAGTCAGCAGGTAACAAGCTGAAGGGTAAATGTTACTTGCTGTCCTCTTCCTGTGCCTTTTAATCCAAAACTTCATTATAAATGTTTTAAATGAGATGACTTCGGACTGTACAGTAAAAACTGCAGTGAAAGCCATGATGTTTTCAAGAAGGAATGAAAGAGGGGCAAAAACACAGGCAAGAAGTGTCATGGTGTATTGAAAGTTAGGATTAAAAAAAAAAAGGAAGTATTTTAGCGATGAATCATGCTCTGCTTAGACACTTAGACATGTACAGGTCAGATGGGATCCACCCAAGGAAATAGACAGCTGGAAAAAGTGCTCACTGATCCAGTTCCTACCATTTGCCAGTAGTCCAGGTTAACTGGGGAGGTCCCACTTAGCAAATGTGGTGCCTATTTACAAGATGGGCAGTAAGGAAGATCCCTACAGGATCTACTACAGGCCTGTCAGTCTGACCTTGGTGCCTGGGAAGGTCATGGAACAGATCATCTTGAGTGCCACCAGCATGTGCAACACAACTAGAGATCAGGCCTAGCCAGTGTGGGTTCATGAAAAGCAGATCCTGCTTGACCAACCTGATCTTCTATGACAAGGTGACCTGCTTGATGGATGAGGGAAAGGTTGTGGATGTTGTCCACATGGACTTTAATAAAGCCTTTCACACCATTTCCCACAGCAGTCTCCTGGAGAAACTGACTGCTTATGGTTTAGACAGGTGCCCTGTTCGCTGGGTAAAAAACTGGTTGGATAGCCAAGCCCAGAGACTGGTGGTGAATGGAGTTAAAGCCAGTTAGTGGCTGGTCATTAGTGGTGTTCCCCAGCACTCAGTACTGGAGCCAGTCCCGCTTAATATCTTTATCAATGATGTGGATGAGGGGATTGAGTGCATCCTCAGCTTGCAGATGACAAATTGGGCAGGACTGTTGATCTGCTGGAGAGTAGGAAGGATCTGTAGAGGGATCTGGACAGGTTGGACTGCTGGACCAAGGCCAACAGTATGAGGTTCAACAAGGCAAAGTGCAGGGTTCCTGCACTTGGCTCACAACCACCCCATGCAATGCTAAAGACTAGGGAAAGAGTGGCTGGAAAGCAGCCCAGAGGAGAAGGACCTGAAGGTGCTGTTTGACAGATGGCTGAGCATGAGCCAGCAGTGTGCCCAAGTGGACAAGAACGGCATCCTGATATGGCCATTGGTGAGGTTGTGGCTTGAGTACTGCAAGCTGTTCTGGGTCTCTCATTGCAAGAAAAACATTGAGGTGTTGGATTGTGTCCAAAGAAGGGCAGTGAAGCTGATGAAGTATCTGCAACACTGGTATTATTACGAGAGGACTGAGGGAGTTGGAGTTGTTTAGCCTGAAAAAAGGGAGGCTCAGAGGGAACTCGCTCTCCACAACTATTACCACCTGAAAATAGATTGTAGTGAGGTGGCAGTTGATCTTTTCCCTCAGGTAACAAGTAAAAGGACAAGAGAAAGTGTCTTCGAGTTGTGCCATCAGAGGTTTGGATTGGATCTTAGGAAAGACTTCTTCAGTGAAAGGGTTGTCAAGCGTTGGAACAGGCTGCCCAAGGAAGTGGTTGAGTCACTACTCCTGGAGGTATTTAAAGGATGCTTAACATGTGGCACTTAGGGACATGGTTTAGTGGTCCACTTGGCAGTGCTGGGTTATTGGTCAGACTCAGTGATCTTAACATCTTTTCTAACATACACAATTTATTTTCTTTTATTTAACATCACACAAGGTCTTCCTACTGGTGTGTTTTACACTACAGTCATACAATTTGTGATACATTAACATATAGGAGTAAAAAATGACATATCTAAGTTAATACCTTTTCAATTTGTTCTGGCTGTAGTAATTCACTTGGATCGCTAAGATTTGGCCGGAATGCTTCAGGCTCCAGGTCTGTTTTGATATTTGTTACCTGTTTTGAATTGATATCTTCTCTTGTTGTTATCTACAAAAAGAACAGCAAGAAAGTAAGTATTTGCCATTCTATTAGCAGGAAAGATAAACTTCACAGGTTTAAAATCATGCAGTTATCAAGTTAGTTAGGCAAGTCCTTCAAAAGTTAAGAAATCCGATAGGTTTGATCTGAGCAAGACTGCCACTGCTTCCGATAGCAAGCTGGTACACAACTATATACCAATAATACCAGACACCTACTGAGAAGAAAGCTATGGTTTTATGCTAAAACAACAAAACAAACAGTTCCCATACACAGTTGATGGGTTTCAAATGCTTTTCAGAAGTTACCTTACATAGTTCTTGCATTTTAATACTAACATAGCATTCTAAGTGTAATTAAAAAAAAAACAAACAAACAAAAAAAGGAATTAAAGCTTAAAAACTGACATTTTTCAATAGTTTCCGAATGAATACTCTTTCAGAGTACTTAAGAAATTTATCAGATATGCAGTAGACATCTGGAGAGACTGCTGTTACGTATTTTGAGCAAACCATTTGAATGGAGCCTTTGAAGTATTGCTGCTCCATGAACTGATCTGCCAGAGCACTTATGGGAATCAAAGAAGGAAGAATTGAGGGTGGGGAAGGGAAAGCAGCAATAATACTTAAGCTGCGTAGTGAGCTTTGAAGTCTGCAAAGATGCATTATGCACAAGGGTCCTGCAGTAGTGTAAAATATGTGACCTATACATCTACCCTATTGAGTTGTTGTAGATACCATTTAGTGGAGGTGGCAGAAGGCCATAAAATTCCTCATCAGATATAGTTCACAACAGCTTCTTACCCCAGCTGACATTCACTGGCACTTTCATATTATAGTGCCATGTCTTGATAACTAGAATAGCTGAGATCCAAACAGGTTTCCTTCTATAAATCTTGCTGCAGGGATATTTAAACCTTATTAGGGATAGTGAAATATGACAGAGGAGTAGGACAAAATGAAGAAGTTAAGAAGATAAGTCACTGCAGCAAGACTTATTAAAATGTTGAGAGATTTGCTAAAGGAAAAAAAAAATCTTAACAACAATTAGTGCATCTGAATAATTTATCAGCCTAAACAAAGTTTCACTGAAAGCCAGACTGTCCAAATTAGAGCCTGAATCCTGAAAATTTCAAGAAAATACCTGCCAACTCCAGTTTACCACATCCCTCATACTCTAAACATACAGGACACGCCTACAGTATTTCACAATATCACCATGGTAAATTTTGCCAAGCTTTTGTGAACTTGCCTAGTTAAGAAAAGAGAGTCAAATCAAAGAAAACTCTGAAATACAGACAGGAATGTTTAAACAAATACAGCCACCCGAGCAAAAAAAAAAAAGAATATCCCTTTCCTTTCTCTCAATAACTATAAAAAGAGTTGCTATCACAAACTCCTGTTACTTAAAAATAGTCTTACAAAGTCAAAGTATCAAACTATATTCAAACACTTACTGAATTACCGTATTAATTTTTAACTCAAGAAAAGGTGCACTTTAAGCATTGCACTAGCAATAAGGTCATGCCTTCATTTTTTCAATAGAAGGTAAAAAACATTTCCAATGTAAATATGCAATTATCCATATAGCTTCATATGCAAAAAGATGACCTACATGCTGCATTATAGAGTGTTATCTCTAAAATGTTATTTCATAGTCCAAATCTTTTCCACTTTAAAAGCCTTTCATCCATCATATGCTACTGCTTCAACTCCAGACAAGTTCAGCATTGTTCAACTGTACAGCAGAAAAACTTATCAGAATTAAAGAATAACAACGGGAATAAAAGGCCACCATGCAAAACAAAAACATGAATAATTTGGCCTCAAGTGGCACGGGGGATCATGGGTTTTCTGTTCAGTTTTTTTTGTTTGGGTGTTTTTGTGTTTGTTTGGGGTTTTGTTTTTGTTTTGTTTTTTGCCTTTTTCATTATTATTATAGTAAAGCACTTTTCTTCTAGGAAGAACACTGCTTTGTAGAACCAGTCAAAGAGCGTCTGTTCAAAAGTATCTGTTTGACAGAAAGCTGTGTAGCTTCAAAACTTACAGATTTATTTCCCACCAAACTCTGACAGAACAAACTGACCTATAGTCAGATTCCAGGGGCTTCCAAGATTAGTAACTGTCACACAGTCTCCAACACAGCTGGGACCACAACTCTCAAATGGCCTCAGAACAGGCAGTTTATAGGCAGCAACCAATCCCATCAGATTTTTAAAGCCTAAATCTCAAGCTTGGGCATTCTAGGTGAAAGATATTTGGGGAGGAGCTCTTGTACTTTCAGGATATTAATACAGGGATTCTCCACCACCGCTTGTCAAAAACAGAACAGTTCTGTTTTCAAGAGGAAATTTTCTTTTTTTTTTTTAAATTTCTGATTTTCCTATACAAGTAGAAGTGCAGCTTTTTGGTTCATGGCTTATGCTCATTATTGATCTCTGTAACTGTACTACTTACAAAACATTTTAAAGCAATAACTACCAATTATTAAATCAACAGAAATAACAGAGCTAATAAAATGTTTTCTTTTGTGTAATTACATAATAGGTAAAAAAAAGTCAAGATCACAGAAAAAAAAAAAAAACAGAACAGAACTTTTTACAGTTTCAGTGGGCAACTACTACAGGAGAACTAAGTACTCAGTGCTTCTAAGGAGGTTTAAGGGAGGTCTACGCTATGCTTTCCATCAGTAAGTTATGTTAGTTGCTGTGTACATCATACAATTTTATAACTGTCAAAAAACTAAGAAACACCTAAAGAGAATGCAAATAATAGTTTCAGTTCATATCCATAGACCTTTGAAAATCCAAACTGCTTTCAAAGTACTGTTTTGTGTGTATGTGTATGACCTTTGCCATGCTGAATTGCCTCAGTTACCTGCTTTTATAGTAGGAAAAATACTTACCTATTCCACAGAAGTTGTGAAGCTTCATACTTGCCAAGTACTGTGAGATTCTTGATGAAAGATTCCTATATAAAATTAAACACCCATGCAACAAGGTTTTGGATTCTTTACCTGTTTTGCATTCTTTTTAGGAAAGCTTCTATCTAACACAACACACCATTCTAAAGTGGAAGTTAAAACACAACACTGCAAGTCAAGCAGTACTGAGAACAAATTTTCAAATTCTAACAGAAAATTCCTGTGTGAAAAAGGTGGAAGTAGTAATTTCGTCATAAAATTACTGATTCCATCATAGCATTGCACAATTAAATACATCCAAAACAAAGGAATTTTCTGCTGGATCCTTGTAGTGCTGTAGACAAGACAAACCCACTGAGTGCGGGACTTGCCCTGATCCAAGACACTACAAAGAAAGGTGTTTTAGTATCTGGAGATGGGGTTTAAACTACTGAAGAGGGCACCTGGAGACGTCTGCAGAGTGTGCGCAGTTCTTCGCTATTTAGAGCATCGATCCTGCGGTGATACTCAGCCACTGACACTACCTGAATATGGAGACAGGAAGACAATAATTCCACTGACAGTTGAAGAAAAGTAAAAAGGTATGAAAGAAAAAATTGGAGGAGAATGGAGGGAAAATGTGCAATGACAACAAACAAACAAGAAGGGCTAAAAGATGTTTGTTTCTGCAAGGACAATGCACGTGTAGGTGATTTTAGACATATGAGTACACACAGCAAGATTACAAAAACACTGAGGGCACTAGCAGTCAGATATATCTCACTGCTCTAGGACAAATACAGAACTGATAGAGGAGTGCACAAAGTTACCAAAATCAGGATGCTAAATTAAAAGTCAATCTGAGTTGCATGCCTTAACCCAAACTCTTCAGCCCAAAGTCCTCTCAGACATTCTTTACACCCAGATTAATGAACCCTGTGAACCTGGTTTGCTTTCCTTGAGGAAGACTAGAAGCAAACCTCAGGCTTCTCAGCAAGTTCTGACTTTTCTATCTGGCAGTGAAGACACAGTTAAAGACAATGTAGCAGGACTACAGTTCAATAATATCCCAATATCACGTCACAATATCTTTATCCTGGACTTTCTATTCCCCTCCAAAGCTTCAGGAGTTGCTCATCTGTCAACGCATTCACTCCAAATGGCATCTCCACTTTGGCGGGAGGTGTATCCCCAGAAAGTCTTCAGTCAGAAAGCTCTAGAACATGCTGCTCTGGTGCAACAAGCTGGCTAAAGGACTACAACAGTAATTTTGATGTAACTAGAGCAAATAATGTGATTTTGAGAACAACTCAAAATCATCATTTGTATGAAAGCATCTTAAAACAGCTGGTGGAGAGATTAAATGGATGTCCCATGTAGTAAGAGTGTATTAAAAACTTCTAGAGCCTACCACAGTGCAAAGGAAGACAACCACAAGTCCAGCAGCTCCCCATCTACCTGCCCTTACTACAAGGAGTTTGGCCAGATACTCGCCACTGTCCTGAGTACAGAGCCCACAGTCACGCATGACTGGCTCTTGAGCAGCGATGGTTCACTTTACCCCATGCAACTGCAAGGCAAGGAAAAAGGAATACTTGTGACACCCAGTTTTAATACTGCATAATCTGCAATTACTAGCACTCAATTTATTTCCATAATTTTTCTACTGTTCTCTTAAAAAAGATCAGGAAAATTGTTGGAAATGGTAGCGGTTTGTGCATTCTCAGAGTCAAGCAGCTATATTCAAAACTTTAACAATATTCCACTGAAACGTATGAGTGTAGTTTTATCCTTTTACTTGCTGTGACAGTTCATTGCAAATTACATTGTTCACACCAGCAACTTATGATTGTAAGCCTGAAAAGCAGTAATGTGAGGACCCCTTAGTCTTGTTGCTTCTTTAAGCTCAGTCTGTACGACATGCAAGGCAGTAGTTAACTTACAATGAGCCATAAATATGTGGTTACTTAAAGATTCTTGAAAAAAAAAAAATCTCAGAATCCCTGACACCATTATATAGTTGCTGTTTCACACAGTGAAATGCAAGCAAGCTCTGTAGGCTTTGCCTTTGAGCTGTCAACTGCATCCTCAGTCACCATCCTGCACGTGGGAACTGCTTATGAACCCTTTTGCTCAGTGACTGAGATCTGACAGACCTTTTCATATGCCAGGGAGGTGCCTCATATTTCCTGTTTGAGAAACATAAATACCTATCCAATAACTTTTTGGCATACTGAACTTGTTTCACACTCACGTTCCATCTCTTTCAAGAACAAAAGCCTGCAAAATGGAAGACTATTGGTATGCAATGACAAAGATCATACAAATCATGTCATAGAATGTCAAACTAGCCATAGAAAAATTACAAGAGAGGAATCCACCCTCTCAAACCCAGTGCATATTTTCAGTATACAGTCCATACTAAATTCAGTGAGTAAACCACAAGAAACTGTTTCAAGGTTATCCACTCATCACTGAACAAGGCTTTGAGTACCTTAAGATACCTCAACAGTTCAGATACTGTACCTGGTTTTTTATAGAGTGCCTACAGTTTAGGTCAACATGCTTTATTTTTGCTTTGCAGTGAAGATTATGTACTTCATGATTAAAATAGTTACACAACCTTAAAGTCATGTATGTCTAAGTTTACTAGAAACTACCTTCTACAGGAATTGGTTGAGATACATCTTGAAAACAGCCAGCATTTTGTCACTGCCCGGCTTGAAAGCACCATTTTAAAATGTCAGTAGGGACATTAGAAGTTTATTCTCTTTTATAATCTGGTTTAATTCATAATCTATTTATGCTGTTTCCTCTTCCATCAAGATTTCTTCATGTTCCTTCCTTATAGTCATCTTAATTTTCTATTCTACTTCACCAAGCTAAAGAAAAGTGTTTTCTCCCCTCTTCTCCCCCACACCCAGCACTCATGAGTTGTCTGTTCTGATCATTCCAGGAGCTTCTACCACCTCATTCTACTTTGAACTTTTATTCTCAAACACAGAACTTAGTTTTTCATACAGTATTAGATTTAACTATAGTAGCCTTGCAATCAAATCAGTTACCCATCAAATGTGTGAAGAACAAAGCTGAAAAACCGGCTGGACCACTGGGCCCCAAGGATTGATGTTCATCAACAGTTAAGAACTGGAACAGGTTTCTCAGGAAGGCTGCAGTATCTCTACCCTTGGAGGCTTTCAAAATTTGACTGAGCCAGGTCCAGAGCCAACCTTGACAAGTTCTTACAATTAAGTCCTTAAAGTATAGAAAAAGCTTTCTAAATTCTAATATAGTTCGTATCTTTACACATAAATTGCCAAATTGCCTAAAATTGTAGTAATCTAAGTATTCTGCCCAGGAATAAAATGCAGGTCTGTCTGTATGAGTTCGCTATGTGCTTTATTTGTTGCACTCTCTTTACTATGCTGTATCAGCATCCAGTTTTCTTCACATCCAAAGCTACTTTTTGAGGATCAGAAACTGTTCCTGAAGCACCTACCCTTTGTTCTCCCTCTAGTTATTTTCTCTTCAAAAAGAATGCAGGAGGAGAGAAAACCAGCTAAACCTCTTGTGGTTAATCTGGGCACTGGCTGGAATAGACCAAAACAAATAATGTGTACAGCTAGGATATTAGTGTGCTTAGGGCAAAAAGGGTTTTTTGCTGAGGCACTTGAAACTGTCTACCACAGGACAACTCCCAAGTTTGTAAAGACATGGAATATATCCTTAAGACATCTAATACTACCTGTTCTATTCATAACAGCAGCATTGATGAGAAAACATGGGATGAGTCCTATGACTCTTTCAGTTGGACTCCCCACACCATGTATATGTGAGTTAATCACCTAGCAGAACACACATTAGTTTTATTATTTAATGAATTAAGGATTCTCCTTTTGGAGAAACTCATGTTTCTAAACTTTGTTTTTCTGAAAATATGTAAAGAGTACTGAACTCTTACAAGCTACACTGGCATATGCAGTGAACAAAACAGAAACCAAAATTCTGAATATGGAACTTTTCTGTCCTTCAACAACATATGAAAATACAGTTAAAATTGTTTGACGTTTGATCAGCCCTTTCAGCCACTGGCCATATCATTCTGCCACAGGCAGATGTGAAAATGAAAACTTTTTACACCAGTGAGGGATTCCTCAGTTTAACAAAGCCACAAGAGACACACCTCCCCCAGTGTCTGTTTGCTAACAGGGAGGTTCAATTGCTGCCCTCAAAACAAACACAGTTAAACTTTCACAGTTAACAAATAGCTGAAATTGTCTCCACCGAGAAAGGGAGGGTCTTATCAGAGCTGAACAGTGCTTCTGAAAGATAAGAATGGGTAAAGTTTAACGGTAAAAGTGGCTCTCTTACACGTAAGAGTGCAACTCTGAATATGAAATAAAAAACAAGTATTAAGAAAGAATGAAAGCTGAGCAATTTTACTTTGGATCTTCATACATCGGTGTAAAATCAAGTGAACTGTAAGCTTCATGAACGTAAATTCTTGAGATTTAGAAAAAGTTTCACTCTTAAAATTCCAGGACACTTAATTTAAAAAAAAAAAAAAAAGCCAATGTAATTTTATCAGGCCACTTACAAAGTTACCTCAAAGTATCAGTCCATCTCTCCAATTTATCAATGAACAGGGAGGGGGAAGAAAGGATCAAACATTTTCTGAAGTCTGTAAATACCTTCTGATAAAAACAAAAGGTACGTTTGTGAACCAAATGCTGCTGTGAATATTTTAAGAGAAAACACTAGCTCTATTTTTCAGACAAATTTAGTTTCCTCCCAAAATCAGTTACACACTGCTTGAGAGAAAACAATAACAAAGAAGCAGACCCCTCCATCACAAATATGATTTGAGACATATTGATTACATCACGATGATGCATTAATACATGGGGCTTACCACACCAGATAAACAGTTACAGGTATAATTTGAAAAAACCCAACCAAACAACAACCTACAACTAATTTAATTTGATTAATCTTTAATCAGTGTGGCTACAAAGCTATCCATTTACTGTCTTGTGTGGTTTTCAGCTCCCTATCACACTACTGGTAACAGGGAAAGTGTTAGGACTTAAAGAACTTGCAGCAAATTGTCTCAAAACACTGTCAAAAAGAAACTCCCATAAGAAAAGCCACCACGATAGAAACTCGAGATAAAAGCAGATGGCAAAAATAGGAACCAGGCCTGGTAAGGCAGATCTAGGTAACCTACCAGAACAAAGATTCCTACCATGGAAAACTGTGAGAAAGGAAAGCACTAATTCCAGGCCTAAATGAAGGTAAAGGTTTGAAATCCACACACTGGACAAAATTCTACTGTGCAAACTGTAGGAAAGAAAACAACTGCTTAGACCCATGCCATCCCACGTTATGGGAACATCTCTGATGCCCCTTGAATATCCAGGACTTGGACTGTATAAAAGTGGTACCCCATAAGCATGACTTGGGGGACCCTCACCCCTGAGTAGACCAGAAGAAGAAGGACCAGCAGGATGCCATCAGAATCCATCTGGTGGTGATATCTTTATCT